GTCACGACAGTCTGTCTTCGTAAACACAAAAAAGTCGTGAACGACACTTAATCGTGTTGTACTATACATGAACAACATCATTTAAATATACGAGCCACGACGCTTTGGACTGTACGATCATCTGTCGTAACGATTTAATTGGAACGCGCCCTTTTACTTAGGCACCGCAGCAACTCTTTCCGCTTCGTCTCCTGGGGGCCTAACACAACCTCTTAAAACAATATTACTTTAATCTTACATTGACTTTTCGTATCATAACGAGCTTAAAGTAAGCTTATTGTAATGTTAAAACTATGATGTTTTATTGGCTGCTTTGTGACTATTCATTCAATCGGTTCGTACTATGACGTGACTTTAACATTAAAGTAATATTGTTCTTATGTCAAATTTAGCAATCTTAAAATAGTTGCACGGATGCAATGGAAACAATATTATTTTCAGTTTTATTGTCTTAATATTGATTTGTAATGATTAAAAGTCAAGTTGAACTTATTTATTTACATATCTCTTCAATATTTTGTTTATTTTTTATTTAATAGCACATAGTAAATATTTTTAGCAATACATAGCAAATAAAAATACGCGATGTTTATTTCGTAAAATTATAACAGCGCCATCTATATACTCCTTGGCGAAACTAACAGTTGACACTAGACTACAGTTCCGAATTCACAACGTGACTATCATGACTCAGCTTGTTTTATTTATTTTTCTTCATTAAAATGTGGAGTAATTATTGAAAACAACGTAATTTTAATAGATTTTATTATTACATACTTTTCTTTTAACAGTAAAATTCTCTGAATGTAAATAACGTTAAGTACTTAAACCTTATACTAAGATAAGACGATTCGGAACATCAAAAAAGAAAGAGACGGCATTATACAGTTCACATAGCGTTATCTCTTTCCTATTTTTAGTAAGGAATAGACAATATTGGGAAATTATTCGTTCTTTTTCAATCACTTTTGCAATAATACATTACTTGCTTGACAGGTTCGTCATGGTACGAATATGAGTAATATTATAATAAGCTTATTTAGGGCTTACATTGAAATAAGATTGTTTTTGGAAAGGTTGTGGGAGGCCCCCTGGCCTCTCGTCAGATGCACACGCGTTCCGTCGCCACACGCCGGCTCAACGTAGTATGCGGGATGTAGTTCTAATTTATGTATAATACAATGCAGCGTCACTGCTCAACGCCCACGCAACGCATTTTTATTTCATAGGTAAAATTTTTACACCTGAAAACGTCATTTTTTAAGCTACTTTGTAAGCTACTGCTCGTTCACTACGCTGACCTCCCTGAGAAGAACGAGCAAGAAACTCTAGGGATTGCTCTCTTCAAATAAACTGAAATGCTTTGGAATACACTTTGAATCATAATTGTGTGGAATTTAGACTCTTGTTGTTTGTCCATACTTCTTTATCTAAAAAATACTCTTAAATTTTTAACCAACTTCAAAAAAGGAGGAGGCTCTCGATTCGACTGTATGCTTTTTTTTATGTATGTTTGTTATGCGATAACTCCGGTATTTGTGAACCGATTTTCATGATTCCTTTTTTTGTTGAAAAGAGGTTACCTCCATAGTGATCCCATTTAATTTTGAAGAAAATCATCCATCTCTAAGAGTGGCTGTTTACGTATGAAGATTCGTTTTTATAAATAGCGCCTAAATTTTATTATAAAGAGCAATTATTTTAATGGTTGATTTTGCTATTCTCCGATTCAAGGCGTTTTTCTCTCACAATATACTTTGAGTAGTGAGAACCGACTTTTATTATCTCCTCTGTCAAGTCCCGTATAGTGGCGAACTAGGGAATGAATCCGGGTTTGCGCACTTTCTATAAAACTTGGTAATTATATGTAATTCTACGTACTTTTGAGGTCGGCTTTTTAATTTTCTGAATTTCTATCACTTATGTAATGGCTTTTTAATTAAAATACTTTTATTGTAAGTTTTAAACTTACGAAACGATGATCTTAATTCTCCGGAATCTTATTCGTAGTCTTTAATATACCTACATGGGTTATCAATTTATGGTATTAACCATTTCTATATCTATGGTATTAACTAATAATTACACATGTTTTACATATTGACCTTTCTTCTTATTCAAGTTCATATCAAATGCAGCACAACGAGATCCGTCGAAATTAAATTTTAATTAAAATTAAGTTTAAATTGAAGGCTGTTTTTATTGATATCAAGTGACGGAACGAATAAGCCGTGCGCCTGATGGTAAGCGACACGCCTGTCCATATCAGTTGCAATGCCACTCAGTCCATTGCAATGATCCAAGTGACACCCTTACCCTTCAAAACCGGAACGCAGTAATGCTGACGCAATTGTTTATACATACACAATTTGACCTACAGCTCAATACGTTATTTTTATAAAAACTGAGCCTTAAAAGGATCTACGTCAAAAGAGGAAAATATTTCGTAAAAATTTATCTTTCAATTTTAAGAATTAGGCTGTAATTGCTTCTCATGAAATATCTTCTTCAATTTCAATTAATGAATCCTTAATAGCTACGTTCGCGAAATACCTTGTTACATGTTGAACTTAAATACAATATTTAGAAACCCTACAATATGATATTAACATTGACTCCAGTCAATATAAATGTACTACCAAACCAAAATTATGATGATTTTGTAATTACAAACTAAAAAAATGCGTTTTTCAATTACCTAAGATTCAGTGGAATCGTTGCGTTGCCGTTGTGTTTGTGACAAATAAAATGTCTTGTATAATGGTAATTTTAATGAATTAATTATCATCGTTTGGATAAAATCCTACAATCATCATATAAGTCTATTCCGTTCGATAAAACTGTCTATTCAAGTTAGCGACCTAGTATAAGGTCCTCTCTTTCGCACTACTTCATAAAAAATGACAAAGACAAGATGGAGGCACAAGGTTTTTTTTATAATTTCATTTTTCCGGTCTTTCTCGGACTAGTTTCTGTGGCAATTTTTATTATTTAAGTATTAGATTGTTTTATCGTGCAATATTATTTAATATTCGAGTATTCTATCGTGAAATCTTATTTAATAATAACCATTAACACGACAATCTACTCGAATATTTAAATAATAAAAATTGCCATAGAAATTTGGTTTGAGAACATTAGTTCGAGAATTATTATTTCTGATTATTAATTCTTTTGCTTTCATTTAACGAGTTTCCCAGCGTAGGCTAAATTTTTCTCACGTGTATTATAATTGCGAGTAACCCAATTGTAAACAGACAACAAAATTGTAAACAGTAAAATTAATGAACTTTCTAAACTGTCGTACCAATTGTCTGGTTTTGAATCCGGGAATCCGCATTCCTTGTATGAGTACCAGTGCAACGAGGTTAACTTCGGTAACAGCAGCACACCTACCTTTTAAATTATTGATACAAATATCGAACACAAAGAAAAATTAATTCGGCAGCTGACAGGACTCGAACAGGCGTCTATGCCTTAGGCTAAGGATACTTTCCTCTGTTTTTTTTTCCATCTTCTAAAGTCTATGCCCTACCAAGGCAAACGCAGAGCTTACGAATTTTTCTATGCGTTCGTTACAAGTTTTGGTTTTAATGGATTTTTTGTCGTAGCGCCATCTGTGAGAAATCTATGAAAGTTTTTCATAAGGTTTTTCGTCTGACGCAGATTCAAGTCCTATGAACGAAGAAATTTTTCTTTGTGGTTCGTCATTTGTATTAATTACTGTATAGTAATTAATACAAATGACGTAACCGTATGGTTAAGACCATCAACTGTTTGCTGTCTGATAAATAAAACTTATTATTGTTATTATTATTACATCTATTTTATTTTATTAATACTAATAATAACTAGTTGGTGCCCGTGACTTCGTTTGCGTAAAATAAATACTTCGAGTAGCCTACTCTGCAACTTACTTAAGAATGATTGGTTCTACAAACTTTCATCCCTTATTTCACCGCTTTAAGATTTATTTTTGTAACAAAAAGTAGCCATGTCCTTCTCCAATCTCCATCTATCTCTATACCAAAATTCATCAAATATTGATTCAGCGGCTTAGGCGTGAAAACGTAACAGTTACTTTCCCATGTATAAGGCTGGTTTCACAGCTGTGCGTTCGGTCCGTACAGACTGTCCGCCTGCGGGCCATCCCCGCATGCGTAGAATCCGCAGGGCTTTAAAACGAGTATTTAACTTAGTGCGGATATTCACGGAAGACAGTCGACTACAATGAATGCACGGGTGGCTTGTGCAGAGTTCACACAGAGCGTGTTCCGTACGGAACAATCCACGTCACTTAAAAACGATGTTGTGATGTTCTATCGCATAACTTTCCAAAATGTTTGACTCACCGCCCACTTAAGCACGATAAAAAAATTTCAATTTCAATTTCAATTCAATGAACGCCCACCACTTCACAAATAATTAAAAACACGTATTTTATATTAACTTAACACAAAAATCACAAGGGAAAAATTATATAAGTATTTGTAGTGTAGTTTATATAGGTAACTCATGTTTTTTTTTTCTAATGCGGTAGCACTCTCTGTACAGCATTAACGCCCCTAATTGCTACCTAGGACTCTTCAGCCGCCACTGGGCGGTGGGGACCACTTTGGGAAACTATGTTCTATCGCCATACTACTCTGTGTACTCCGTGTTACTCCGCTCCGGTGCTCCGCGCGGACGGTCGGCAGATAAATCCGCATTGCTCTGAAACCAGCCTAATATTAGTTTGGATTACAAAAAACTAGTGGCGTAATTCCACAAACAATAAATGAATGCTACCATGATAGTAAAACATCGTAATACTCATTACAATCAATATTACCTACCATTAATTTAATACCATAATTTAAATCGGTCACAAATGACTTTTTCTATGATATCAAGTAACAAATATGCTGTGCACTTGGTGGTAACACGCCTACCCCACTACCCAAACTTTTGGGCGTATTATATTATTTTTTGTAAATTATCCGGAGTTGCCTTTTCCACAGATGAAAGAAGCAGTACCAAAAGGCGAGACGGTGCTGCTGCATTTCGCACGCGACAAATTTGTCGCGGTATTCGGTCGCAGCCCTGTTGCCGCTGCAGCCGCGCCCAGTCGCGTCAACCTCATCGGTGATCACATCGACTATTGCGAGGGATTCGTATTGCCTGTGGTAATCAGTAAAAATATACTTTTCCCTATTTTCATCATCATTATTATCTCCCCACGGGTTTTTTCGCCAATTCATTGATAACGTGAAAAATAGTGAAAGAAAATTGTTATTAAGTTTATTATTATTAATATATATTTCAAGCTTAGAATAATAACGCATAGAAACCTAGTCCGCACACGCTAAGTGAGGCAAATTGAAGCGCTCCCAATGGGCCTACACGAGCGGGCGGGCCGTCAGTGCTCAGGGTCAACTTGCACCGCGACCAGCTCAAGAATTTTAGCTCAAAACGAGAAAATTTGCGGTAAATAAGTGTAAAAATACGTCAGACAAACATAAAATAGATACTAACATCACATTTCACAAGGAAGTAACGCGTTTCAACTTATATTTTTATATAAATATTCACTAAAACCGAAAATTAACCTACTACTAAAACTAGCCTACATGAATTTGATTTTTACCTCACTTGTGACAGTTCGTTTGATATTAAACTATCATTCTGTGCGTTATTATTCTAAGATTTCAAGTATATTCCACCAAAAATATTAAACTTTTTTTTTATAACATCAATGACGAGACGAACAAGTCAAGTCAAGTCTGAGCCACTCAGCTTTAAATCGCAAAGATATGCATCTGTCACACTGAGACATAAGTTGAGAAGTCATTTGTGCCTGTAATTTCACCAGCACTCTTCAAAACCGGTACGCAGTAATGCTCACATTACTGCTTGGCACCAGAAATAGGTAAATTAATAATAGGTAATTCTTGCCTTCAAACCAAGTCAATATGACATATTATGCATAAACGATGAATTTTATTCGACTTGTTAAATCATTTCTTAATTTTATAATGAATGTAAAATTTGCGTATTTGAATGTTATACAACAATGAAAATGGAAGTCAATTACGATGCTACTGCGCGTTCACAGTGAAGACTTATCCTATAGCAAAATAGCTGAATATTTTTCTAACGCAATTAATTTTTTCAAATATAATTGAATAACACGAAAGGTGGCTAGCTACAGATTTGCTCTATTTTTTTGACGACCATCACGTGTGATCAAACGAAATGAGCAAATTTGACGTTCGACATCGTATTTTTTGTCGATCAACTTTTGTGATCAGACAAAATCGAGTAATTGTGTGAGAAATAGACGATCGATGTCGTATTTTTTGTAGATCGACACGTGTCATCGTCAAAAAATCTAGCAAATCTGTACGCACCAAACCGCAAATATACTCGACACACGCTTCCATCTATGCGAGGCATCCTCTTATTTATTGATTGTTCGACACTCAGCTGAAGAAAATAACCCACAAGCATGCATGATTTAACTTTCACTGGGTTCATAAAGTAACAAGGTAATTTACTTCTGCTTTTTAATATTATGAATTCCCATAAAGTAACGCCTGCATCTTTAAGTTATTGTACATTAACTTATTTATATGACAAAGGCCTTGTTCAGAGTGAGTAAATCAAATGTACGTAGACGCTCGCTGCGTGGCCACGCGAGCCGCGCGAGTAGATCTACACCCCTCATGGAAGAATGGCATAAGTGGAGTTACGTCGAAAGCGTTTATTGCTCCATTAGATACAGAAAAATATAACTCACATCCTCTCCAATTCTTGTAACTCTATCTACAATATTAGTCGACAGAGTTACAAGAAGAGAATCTCATGGAGTAGAGTTACAAGAATTGGAGAGGATGTGGGTTATATTTTTCTGTTTCGAATGGAGCAATAAACGTTTTCGACGTAACTCCACTTATACCATTCTTCCACGAGAGGTGCGTGTCTCGCTCCGCCTGTACCTTTCACAGTGTTTGGTCTAGCGTCTAGCGTCTGTTTGCGATTTCGAGGTGTAGATCTACCCGCTCGTAGCCGCTTTCCGCACTGTGAAAGGGAAGACGCCAAGACCCGCGCCCCAGCGTCCGCTACCGTTTCGCCCGCGCCTGTACTTTGAATTAGCCCAAAGGGGTATTCTAGACGATCGCTTGCAATGTGACCCAAAATTATAACGCGAATTCCACCCAAACTAATTAATGTGAAAATCTAATTATCCAGAATTGATTGATGACTTCCTCAAGTGTTTGTCTCCACAAAAATCAATTATCCACGATGTTTCAACTTGATTACTTTCCGCCTCTAATTTTATTACTATTTTGACGAAAATGTTAAAACCTCCTGTTACCTTGTTTGCTTGCTTTCTCCCTTCTAAGTTTTTTAATTTAACTTGAACTAATGATAATTTATAGAGCTTCAATCTAATTTTTATTGAAGCAACTTGATTGATCGTACCACTAGTACTTTTGTGGTACGATCAATCAAGTTGCTTCTGTATCTGTGCCTTTTTTGGTGGTACGGGGTTTTTAAAGATTTATGGATCGGTTGAAAGACTTTTAGGCCAATTTGACCCATCAGGAGGCAGTATCGCGTTTGAGTAGAATCCTAATTTATATTTTTATTAGAAGAATACGTTATTTTTTGAAACTCATTGTAGTTCTGTGTTAAGTGTCCTCATTTGTAAAAACATTGGTTTCAAATTCAAATTTAAGAGATAAATAAAACCTGTCTGCAAGAAAATTACTCACTGCATAAAACGGCGGGAGTTGTTGAAAGTTCATATGAACTAATTAATCACTTTTAAATAAATTTTGATAAGTTATCTTGTTTAATTCATCTTTTTAAGTTATTGTACCATTAATAAGTGGTCTCTAAACTGGTTGACAAAACAAAGCCAGCAAAATTATAGCGCTGCTTGAAGAAAATTGTTCTCAATGTTATGTGTCCCAGAGGCTGAACGTGAGTCGTTCGACAGTTCAGAGGACTTGGAAACGATATCAAGAGACCAGTTCCGTCAATAGAAGGACAGGTTCTGAAAGAAAACCATGCGCCGAACCACTGGATGACCGCTTCCTGGTAAGCCGGGTGTTGAGAAATCGCAAAGCTTCATACGTGGACCTCAAGAAGAACCTTGAGGAAGTGAGAGGAGTACAAATTAGCCTATGGACCGTCAGGAAGAGGCTTCTTGCTGCCAATATACACAGTCATCGCCCAGCTCGTGGCCCTAAATTACTCCGTAAGCATAGAGTTGCTAGACTTAACTTCGCTAGAAACCATGCTACATGGACTCAAGAGGACTGGAGAAGAGTATTGTTTTCTGATGAAGCCAGGATTTATCTGTACAGTGAAGACCGCCGTCGGCGAGTGCTACGAAGACCAGGGGAACGCTTTGCAGACGTGAGTTGTGAAGAAGTCACCCCTTATGGTGGAGGCTCCGTTATGTTTTGGCCAGCGATTAATTCGATGGACCGTACGGAGTTAGTCTACATCGAAAATGGCTCATTGAATGCACAACGATGCATGACGAAGATCCTAATTCCTCACGTACAACCCGTATTGACTGTTCTGGGAGAAGATTCAATTTTTATGGATGACAATACTCGCGCCCACCGTTCTGGCGATGTGGTAGCGTATATTCAAGATGTTGGAATGCGGCGTTTGCATTGGCCAGCTTGAAGTCCCGTCCTCAATCCAATAGAGCATATCTGGGATATTCTGAAGAGACGGGTAAGGTCAGCGTAGACAGGCCCACAAAACATCAGGGAGCTAAAAAATCTCATCGCCGTGGAATGGGAACACATACCACAAGAGGTCATAAACAATATCCTCGAAAGCATGCCTAGAAGAATACAAGCTGTGATTTTGGCAAGAGGAGGCCACACTCATTATTAAATTGTTACCATTTCTTCTTTACATTGTTAAAAAAAAAAACATTTTTTTTTACTTAACGTGTAGTATTCTCCTGACCACTGACATTAGAACGACATTTTCTCTTTAGTTAATCGAAATTCATAGAAAAAATTTTCGCAAATAATTTTCTGCATATTCATTTCTAAGATTCTTAGGATACTACTCAGTTAAATAATAAAATTTATTACAGGTGACAGTCAAATATCTTATTTGCTTAGGTGCCATTTTTGTTTTTGCAAAAGAGTGTAATTCTTTGTACAGAACTTTAATGAAATTTTTTACCCCGGTGACGAGTCCCATAGATAGACAATACAATTTAGATTCGGAAATAAAAAGATCACCTATATGATATCAACACACACACAAGACAATTAATGCATCGTCATTGTGACACGTCGTGGATTGTCGCCTTGTACACGTGCGCAGCAATGAACAGGCTGCGTAATTTTATTTGTCATTTCTGTCTGATATTGTCAGTGTTGTGTATTATTTGAAAGTCATCCTAAGTCATAGCTCCTTCTTTCATGATTGAATTTGTGTAAACAAGTAAATAACGAAATATTGAACATCAATCTTTGTCCGCTTAAAATTGGATGGGAATTGTTGACTTTATGTCACTTCAAGTAATTGCAGATAAATAAAATGATAGGTATGTACAATGAATCACACACTTCGCCATTAAATAACGAAACCAAGGTCTGAAATTATCAACAACGCTGTATGAAGTATCAATACAAGGGTCAAAGTTAGGGAGTTTCATTTGTGTACACCTGTACATGAACAACACCTTTTCTTATTCTTAAATGTGAGAGCTTAGAATAATAACGCATAGAAACCTAGTCCGCACACGCTAAGTGAGGCAAATTGAAGCGCGCCAAAAGGGCCTAGACGAGCGGGCGGGCCTTCAGGCTCAAGGTCAACTTGCACCGCGAACAGATCAAGAATTTTAGCTAAAAATGACGAAATGTGCGGTAAATGAGTGTAAAAATACGTCAGACAAACATAAAATAGATACTAACATCACATTCCACAAGAAAGTAACGCGTTTTAACTTGTATTTTTATATAAATATTCACTTAAACCGAAAATTAACCTACTACTAAAACTAGCCTACATGAATTTGATTTTTGCCTCACTTGTGACAGTTCGTTTGATATGAAACTATCATTCTATGCGTTATTATTCTAAGTGTGAGAGTTAAAAAATTTAACATGTAGGTAGGTACCTCGTCCATAAGTTTTGAGATGAATTTTGACTTTAAGAAAATAAAGAAAATAATACTGGCAACTGTTTTATTCTTTTTTCACCTCTCTAGCTCGGAAAGGCTTTCTTTCTCATTAGTAATCTGCGCATAAAATTTATTTTTTTCCATGCTATAGGTAAAAGCGTTTTTTGCACGCTAGCGTGGTAACGGTTTTTGAAATTCGAACTTGACCATGGACTGCAGATGCACCTAACTTTTCCTTTCGTTGTAAAAAAACATAATAACATGTTCAACTACGCGATTTGTCGTGCATTAATTATGTAATATAAATCCGTTGGTATATTTTATTCTTATTATTGTTGACATTAAATTGACAATGATAACTAATTGTGTTTATTAAATTATTTTAATTCGTCGAAGAACTAAAATAATTTCAATAATCATAACTACAAAAATAAAAGTACAAGCAAGAACAAAAATTGATGAGGTGTAAATGGAGAACGCATCCGAGGATAAACTTTTTCTTTTAATTAAAAAAACTGATGTTTCAATTAAACTGTTTTTCTTCCATCTACCATTTTCCTCGATAAAGTGAAGTGAAAAGTTGTGGTTTCGCTCGGCAGCAAATTTGTTTTGCGTTTCTTTTTGTTTTCTCAGGAATCTATTTTTGAACCACGAGCGAATCTTCTCAATATTCAATAGTCGCCTCAAACAATAACTTTGCAGCCTTGCATAATAAATAACTATTTTAATTTGGAATTTGAAATGTTTGTGTTCTATTTGTACGATTTTAAATTAATTTTTCTCGTGATATTGGCCTCTGTATGGCCAGAGCATTATTTCGTCTCAAAACTTATATGAACACACGAAGACATAAATTTGTTTCATGTTGTTCGTATTGTTTTATAACTTTCACGTGATAATATCCCTTTTGGCGTGTGATCATATGTGGCATTATTACACCAAGGGTACAAAATATGTTTAAGATCGTGCTTTTACGGCGTCTTGTTCGTAGAGCCTAAATAAGAACGTTTGATAAAGTCACGCCATAAGCAGGGATCGGAATAGGTAGTTTTTTTACCTAAACTTCGAGGAACATAGACAGAAAATGGAGACTGCCTTACGATAATATTTTTTAGCCAAGACCTGTTCGGGATTCTGGAAATCACTGCTTCGCATATAGGAAAATAAAATTTAATTTGTTGGTTTTCGTGTTTATGTGTTTTAGTAGGAAATTAAAACTTCTGTTTGTTGTTATGTTTTGTTATTACTTCAGATAATTACTGTGGTGATTCCAAGACTGGATCGACTAAGATTTTGTAACGATGGGGTACTAAAGGTATGGTCCCGTACAAATAATACACATTTTATTTTTTTCCTACTAAACTATTAGATTTATGGCAAAATGTGTTATGACAATATTTAATTAGGACAATAAGATCTCTCGATTGGCATTTAAAAAAAATCCAATGTCCGTAATATCGCATATCAGATCCGAAAGTTAAGAAAAATATATTGTACCTTCTTAAGTGATTTCCCGAATCCCGAAAATGTCTGGACCAAAAAATATTGTCCTAAGGCAGTCTCCATTTTCTGTCTATGTTCTTCGAAAAAACTCTACCTATTCCGATCCCAGGCCATAAGCCTCAATTATTATCAGAACCGCTGTCGCCAAAACTCACACATTCTTAACTACAAACACTACGAAATCTTGATAGTAATTGGTCGTAGTTTTAAATTTAAAAAGAAATAACGAATTCTGGATTTCTAATATAATTTAAACTTTACTCTGTTCGCTTATCGTTGAAAGTTGAATAACATCAATACCATAGATTATACTAATACGTGTGTAGGCTAACTAACCACTTCTACTGTATTTTTTGTTCTGTGGTCACGGAAGTAAAGTTCTGTAGTGAAAGTTTACTGGCTGCGACCAAATCGCGTCATCTGCGCGTCGTCCGAGCGTAAAAAGTGCGCCGTGTGCGTAAATTCTAAGTGCCTACATACTTTTTCGTATTTCCAGGCTCTACCCTTCCTGACGGTTATAGCAGGTGGATACAATAACACCGGGCAATGTAACGTGATGTCAGTGCTGGAAAATGGAGATGAGGTGAAGACAAGTTTCCCTGCGACAACACACACGACGCAGTTGAAGCCAGGGGAACCTGCCTGGGCTAACTATATTAAGGGTGTCCTCGCTAATTTCCCAAGTAAGATCCCTTTCCCTGATTGTCTCGTTTTTGTTTTGATCTTTCGCTCGGTTTATGTGAACAACAGTGATCAAAACTCACAAAATTTGTCTTGCACATGATGGGAGAGGCGAGAATTTAAATTAGTTGTTGCGGTTGGGTTTCTGTGGCGTGCCGCTTTCGATTCTACGAACGACATCAGGGGATAGCTTTTTCACGGGAAAGTTATAAAAATTTTAATATAATACACTAACCGGCTCCGTGTCCGAACGGTGCCATGCTAGTCTGCCATGCAGAGGCCGGGAGAAATATTTATATCGCGAATTTGGGTGCAATTTGTGGTTGTCTATGTGTGTGTTCATGGCACCCACGACACAGGGTTTCCCTAGTGCGGGGCTATGTTGAGTGTGTGCATTATCAATTTATTATTATTTATTATTGTGGCCAGTGGTGCCAGATTAGGCGCTTGCGGCGACTAAAAAGTGATCGGCGACTCGGCGATATTTAGGCTATATTTGAAATAGGAAAAGGTGATTTTAGGCTACTTAATAAAATGTCTAGGGAATTACAAACTTGATTGGGGATTTTGTGGGGAATCGAGTTGTAAAACAACTTATTTGGGGGTTTGAGTAGTTCTACGTGTGGGGAATTAAGAGAGTTGATATACCCCAATATTCGGCAGCCAGTAGAATTATAGAATTGTTTTCCTTGATTTTTAGGGATTTTATGGCTTGGGCGAATATCGGCTACTTAACACATAAATTCACTTCGCAAAAGTCTGGCAACACTGATTGTGGGCGTTGGATACGGAGGTCTCGGGTTCGATTCCCATAGGACCAATTTGGGGAATGCACTACTCTACTTATCTACATATAATCACATTAAATGAGGAATTCCCTAAAGAATAGAGCCAATAAAACTAAGCTGCACTTTAAAAAAACGTTTCACTTCTCGTGCTCTAAAAGTACGTCATTATAACCTTACGTAGCGGGAGTAAAGTGCATCCTGTAATCTTGGAGTAAAAAGTACCTAGTCGTTTAATTTACTTGGTGTGAAGAAACTCAAACAGCCACCAGGTTTTAGTTCCGTGTTTTTCCGCATAGACGGTGGCGCCATATTATTTTCCCGCGTTATTGCGTTTGTTGTATCTGTGGCTGGTTGGAAAAAAAAAACTTAAAACTTCAGAATTTTGGTTCGTCATTTTGTTGTAGAGCGAAAACTATTAAAATATTTTTTTTTTCACAATCGAAGTGAAAAGTAAAGTTTTCACCTCGAGACTAGAAGCCAATATAATCCCACGGAGTAATAAACACTCTCGCTAAAGCACGGGTGGCTAACCACCTCGGGTATAATATGTATTGGCTCGTTTTAGTCCCTCAAAAAAACAATATTGGGATTAAAATTTTTTATTGAATTGATATTCAATTATTTTTCGTCAAATTACTCCACTAGTTTGTTAACTCCACAGTAAGCTAGAAGACGTCGGTTCGTATCCGGCCGGATCTAAGGATTTTTTTCTAAGTATCCGATCTTTGTGTTAATAATTATAACAAAATATTGGGATTGTTCGTAATGTAATAACTTGAGAAAATAGCTTATTTAATTTACTTTAAAAGTAAGAAGTTTTTGGAAAAATCTGAAAGGAATATTTTGTAACTTTAGGTTTGATTTTTTTTAACTTCTAGGTGAGGTAAATGGTTTCGACGCAGTAATTGTGGCAGATGTGCCGATGGGGGCTGGTTTATCCAGCAGCGCCTCAATCGAGGTCGCCATGTTCACTTTCCTGGAAGCCCTTACCGGCAAGCATTTCGAGTAAGTTACTTAAGTTTTCACAAAGTTTTTACACAATCAAGAGATCACGTGAATATTTGCGTCCGTACATGATGCGCGGCGAGCTTTCACACATAAAAGTGACGTTTGTATGAAATTCCTTCCTCTGCTTGCTTTGGAATTTCTTCCCAAAAATTACAATTTTTACTCACCAACGCGAATAACCATACTCGCTCCGTCACATCGTTGCTTAACATGTAATGGAGATTGAAAAAAAATAAATTAAAACTGTGTTTTCTTCTATATAAAAGTACAATTGTTTTGTTTACTATTCTAAAGTTATAACGTTCACAATAACATTTAAGCACTTTAGTTAGCTTCCCACCTTAACCTAAATCTAATTACTATAAGTCAGTTCGGTGTTGATCTAGAATAAGATAACGCTTTACAGTTCTTGTGGCTTGCTTTTTACTTTCATTTGCGATCTTTTCCACAGTATTAGTCGGTACTCCATTCAATAACATCGGGGAGAATATAAACCAAGATTCTTTTCCCATACACATTGTTATATTTCGGTAATTGAAATGTACTCTTTTTAGGCAATATACGTAGACATGGTGCCCTCTTTTTTCTTTCTATGTGTAATATTTTCTCTTGGTTTTCATTTAACCTTCTCATAGACATTTCAGCACTTTGCAATGTTGAAATAATTTTTCATAATCATCTCTATATTTATATTTTTAGAGGTACTATATACTTTAACAATCTTATTTGTAAGTCAAATATTTTTTTAAATATGTTTTATACGTCCTCCCGTAACTGGAGAGAAGATAGATTACTATCAAGTCAACCATTGACAAATAAAGAAATCTTAGTGTGTTATAAGGCACCTTGTGTTTAAAAATCGCTCTTAATTTATTACAAATTTGGTTCACGTGTGAATCCCAGTGAAAATTTTGATCGATTTTGACTCCCAGGTAAGTATGCCCTTCAACTATGTCAAGGGGCTCGCAATCACACATTGTATTATGGAGGTGCATACATTGATGTTCGTGATTGTCTAGTTTACATTATAAAATAACACTTAAATACGTACGTGAGGCGCAGTATAAGTTTCCGGAATGAATAACAAAAAAATACTATAAATGGTCAGAAATGAATTGATTGTTTCTCAAAATATCCTCCGTTAGCGTTAAAGCACTTTTTTATACGAATGAACCAATTTAGAAAACATTTATGCCACTCCTCCGTGACAACCTCTGATTCATATTTTTCATACTCTTCGATAGCCTCTTCAGGTGATGAAAATCGTTGACCGCGTAACTGGTTCTTAATTTTTGGAAATAAATAAAACTCACAAGGTGCCAGGTCGGGACTGCACGCGGGATGGCTCATAAAGTCAACGTCACCTTAAAAAAAAATAATTTGTCTGTCTGGCAGTGTGAGAACTTTATTATTACGGAGTTCGTCAATAATTTCCGGCAAACAAATGGTCGTGTACCAATGACTATTCACGGTACAACGATTCTCCAAAAGCAATAGTAGCCACGTGTCCAGTTTTATTAAAAAAAGAAGCAATCATCCGATTAGAGGCACTTTGCACGCGCGCCACTTTGGTTGGTTTCGGCTCATCTCGAAAGACCCATATGCTCGATTGCTGCTTTGTTTTGGGATCGTCTGTTACTATGTCCCACACCAAATTTGACGCCCCTTCGTTGAATTTGGTAAGCATGGCATTGCACCAAGTGACGCGATCCGTTTTTTGAGCCTCATTCAAATTGTGTGGGATCCACCGAGAGCACAGCTTTTTCACACCCAAATGTTTGTGTAGTATTGATTGTATTTGACTCATGCCTATGCCTAAACATGTCAAAATCTCATGGTATGTCATATGCCTATCTGTTTTGATCATACTGCGCACAGCATCGATATTTTTGTTGTTCACAGCAGTGGACGGGCGACCATTACGAAATTCGTCACTGAGATTGACACAACCGCGTTTGAATTCTGCAAATCAGCTATAAATAGTCGTCTTGCATGGTACTTCGTCGCCAAAAACAGTTACAACAGGATTCGACATGCAGGTCTCATCACGACGTTTTTCTTCACTTTTCACACCAAATTTTAAATAAAATTTCGAGAAACTCAGGGGTGCGAACTCTGCTTGCGAGGCGGTAGGTCTAACCATTAGAGTATTAGCGCACTATGTCAGATTCGTATCAGGTTCCGAGTCCGAGAAACGACCGTCCGGAATGTCACAGGGATCATTTTATCTCTAGGTGGTAAATATATTATATATATTCGCATTTTCTCGGATTTAAGTCGGAGAACACAAGTGACATCCGAAGTGGGTTCGAGTTTTCTAGATTTGTATGGTCTCTCATTCAGAACGAATATGTGTCGGATGCAGTGTTTTTCAATTTTCGTCCATTATAGCAAAGCTCACGTTAAACTGGTCGTTTGAAGTGAACAATTGACGACACCCGTCAATTGTTTCGAACTCGGGGTGGCATTTATGTGGTCTGTGGGGCTGACAATCGAAGTTCTCACCGTAATGATAAGGCAGAATAGTTTTCAAACAAATTGACTGACATTTCGCCTCTATTTCTGGTTATATACCTACTCGATGACTCGTATCTATAGTACCTAATGTTACATGGTGTTCAATAAATAGAGCACATTTCGTGTGTCCACACGACACACTTTCCTAATTGATTGTTCAACAAGGGTTAAAATCGACAATTTAACACGCTATCCAACTATTGTTAAATGGAGTTTACAACGTAGTTAAATACGCTTCTTTTTACATCTTTCCACAAAGTCTCAGCAGTCGAATTTGTGTAGCTCTTATTCATAATACAATACAAGATAATAAAAATTTGACTGTCTGTCCCAACCCTTGTCACTTTCGTTTCTAAATCATAGTTCAAATTCGTAGGTTGTGTGTGGGCAGGATACAAATGCAATAGTAGTAAAATTTTTCGTCCATCGGGATTAAACATTCTGCCAGATCTTTGACTGTAATTTTTATTCAATAGTTTCATTGTGTGATATATTTTCGCGGGAAATTGTTATGTCTTTATGGTGGTCATTTTGACACTCGGATACTTGTTTGATCTTGGTATTATAACAAACAGTTATAACAAATTGGAATATTTATACAAAAAAATAATTGAATATAATAGTAGACATACTTTTATTGCCACGAATACATCAACACAAAAATCAGTTTGTACACAAATAATTATTGGACATAATATTAAAATTAAAATTAAAATTAGTACAAAGAGGCAAAGTAGATAGTATAGTATAGTCATAGTGTTGTAACGTCATGGCAATACGGGACAGAGTATATTATGCTGCAGTAACCTACCACAGTGCTGATATTCAGTAAGCCCGTAAAGCTCGACGCCAGCAATTAGCGCGGAAAATTACGAGTGTTGCCACTTATTATTTTATTATTATTATAATATATTGTGATTATTATGTAAATTAATGTATATATAAGCATGATAAATTACATAATTATACATATATAGCAGAATGTTTATACTGAATCCTAAATTGAAAGGGATTATACCCTGTCAACTGTCAGCGAACCTTTTACCTCGAAAATGCAGGAACAACACGGTCGCCCACGGGCAACTCGGCCTGCTATGCCATGATTTCAGTTTGATTTTAAAAGAGAAGACCGACTTTAGTTCTCTCCCACGTGCCGGTAGGTTGTTCTAGCACTTTGAGGCCGCATATCTGAAACTCCCAGAGAAAGCAGACGTGCGGAGGATCTATAACACCCAACCAGTCGAATGAGCACCATAACTTCCATGGTCACACCAAAAAATTTCTGTCAGGTACTGCGGTCGACCTGTCTTAATCACACCGACTAAGAGGAAAGCCAGTAAAACATTGTGTTATTCTATAAACATTTTGTATTATATTTTTAGGAACTAAACAAAATGTGCCGAATAGACTCGACCTTCTATGATTTCTCTATGTCACAATGGAACACGTTTTATCTAATGGCATGTATTTAAATGATAATTTTAAATTTGGAAAAGTAGCAGGCAAAAAATCTAAACGGTTATCTTTTTTAATGATTGATTCTTTTTCTCTGAGGCATAAAATAAATTAAATAACTTTATATTTTGATATGTTCTGAGCTAATGTTTGATTTGTATAAATTAACTTTGATAGTTTCATGTTGAGCTTGACAAATGAGCATTAAAAAATCTGAAATCGGAAGTCGGAGACGCAAGTAAATTCGCCTCTGGCACTCGCCGGCCGCTGCCGCGGCACGCTCACTTCGTTCACTTGCCTCGTGCTACTTTTTCATATACTAACTTCACCTAACCCACTGAATGAAGGGTGCAACCAAGATTTGACCTACATGAAAAAAAGAGGATCAAATATTATTTCTTACTACCAAATATTAATTTGTATGCTTAAACGTAATGATCGTAATGATAATAGTGTTACCTTGAATGCAGTTCATTTATAATTTATCCATAGTTCAACTAACATAGACGTAACGTAACAATTTGGCGACCTCCGTGGTTGAATGGCTTGCACACCGGTTTTCATGGTGTCGCCATCTGTGTGAGGTCCAGAGTTCGATCCCTGGCCGGGTCAGTGTAGAAAACTAACTTTTCTATATTATCTAGGGTCTCGGTGTTTGTTGTACCGTCGTTGTTTCCGATTTTCATAACACAAGTGCTTTAACTACTTACTTTGGGATCAGAACAACGTATGTGATATTGTCTAATATTTAATATTTATTTACTATTTTATATTTATATTTTTTATATTTGTAACTAACTAACTAAACTAACTTTGTTAACAAAAAAAATATCGTTTATATAAAAAAGTGCACATTTACAATAGATCAATTTCATGCTTGAGGATCAAATGAGATGATTATTCATCGTATAATTAGTAATCAATACTTCATCAAGTTACCAAAGTTGCCGCGAGTTATATGTCGACTAAAAGCCCAAAATAGAGGCACGTAGGTACTGATGTTGTTGCCAATATAATGTAGTTCCAAACAAGTAGGCGGGAATAGTTTTCGAGGTCTACCTTAGAGCGAATGGTAAAGAAATGACCAACGAAAGCTGACTCCTTGTTCTACAAACCAATCTATGGTAGCGAGAGGTCAATGTGGTTTTATGCAGTGTTGATGGAGGCGTGAAGGAGTATGATTACTTAACTATCCTGGGCACCACCCTTTCTATTTATAACATATTGCTTGTTGTATTCTAGTAGTCTACTTCATTGACATGTTTTCGTAATAGTTCTCAGAAGCTGATTCATAGACTATTTATGTAGTACCAGTCACGCTCCTTGTGAAAGAGTTCATCCAGGGAAGTACTGTCACCTATTTCTGGTAATGTTATACTCATACTGCGTTTCGGATTTGATGGGTTAAGGGTACTGGTGGTTGTAGTGATCCTCAGACCTTGGTGATTTGAAGCTTTGAGTGATACTGCAACTATTATGGACAAGCGTATCGCTTACCACCTTACCTTACCTATTTCTGCCGCCAAGCGGTAATGTGAACATGACTGCGTTCCGGTTTGGTAAGGGGTGCCGGTGAAATTACAGGCACATGGTATTTCTCAACTTATGTCTCAGGATGACGGGCGCAGTGCCCCTAAGATCTTTGCGATTTAAAGGGTAACCTATCACAAACTCGAATTTTCTTTCCGAAATAACATTTGGTCGAATCTTCATTACACCGAAAACCGAATTAAAACGAAAACGTTGTTCTTTCAGGGTATGTTGGATGTTTATCGCAAAGACACGATTAGGTTCGGTTACGAGTTAAGTTAGGTTTAAAAGAAAAAACATTTTCCTCTCAAAATTACCTTCGAGGTTATGAAAATTCGAGCAAATGTTATTTCTGGAACATGTCATTTCGGACTGCTGATAGGTAATCGATTTAAAGCTCGAAGTGGCACTGCAACTGTTTTGGATAGGCATGTCGCTTACTACCAAGCGCACGACATGTTTGTCCCGCCACATGTTAATATAAAAAATACTAACAAGTGGCTTGTTCGTCATATCACCTGATGCCATGAAAAAACTGCTCTCAAAGGTTTATTTATCCGCTTTTGGACTGTCCGTTACCGCAGTCTACTCAATAATTGAAACGCATATGGTAGCCTGCATCATCTGTCTGCCATATCCATCATCAGATCACCTCTAGGTTGCCGAAATATTTTTTTTTCTGTGGAATTACGTCTATGCGCATTATATCAAAGTTTTATTGCAATCGGTTAACGGATAGTGCGCTAAATTCAACAAACCGGGTTAATTCCCTAATAAACTAAACTTCGGATGTCGCTTGTGCACTATGTCTGTTTTAAATCCGAGAAACTATGAATATCGCGTACACCTTCAGATGAAATGACACTTCGGATACACTCAACTAACATAATTTGAATTACTTGTCGTAAAACCTGACCTTAGGTAATAAACTTCAATAGTTTCATTACACCTTCCCTGGCCAGCAGATAAAGCTCCGTTGCTTACGCAGTCCGTAGAATACGTGAGCTTACCGATGTTATTACTGTTAGTCTAGTTTACGAATGGGACGTAGCACGCAAACGCTCTTATAGGTGGGAAATTTTCCTCAAATTTGAATGGTACTACTGAGGTACCTCCTTTCCTACAAAAACAATTGAATTCACAAATGTCGGAGAATGCGCGTAATATACACACACAAAGAACAGTTGAAAAGAGAACTTCCTTTTTTGAAGTAGTTTAAAAATCTTGCGCGTTCGAGATCCCACTCGTAGTTACGAGTTACAGAAACTTTCATAGAAGCCTGTATATCGCATCTTATCTTCTTGCTTCATCCTAAATCACAAAGTTCGTGAATGCAAGTTAGCAATTACAAAATGGCTCGAAACTAAGTCTTATGAGGAGATAGAGCAATTATTATTACAAGTTTGAGTCAAGATTAAATATAGACAAATCGAAATTTAATTCACATGTATGTTTATATAAACTTATAATACAAACGTTATTTTAGTAACTTCTTATATATGAGACACGCAATTGAAATTATACTGTTTAACATGGTATGACTATGTATAATTTTGTATATTGTACGTCTTACGGATGCATGACACACACACAATTACACACTTACAGACACAAATACACATACCTCCACTCACACACACTAATACTTAGGTTAATCTATTTTTATTCTGAAAAGTTAAAAATTACTGTAAATAGTGACATTTGTATTAGTTGTAACACCAGTTACAGTAGATATTAAGGTAGTCTGTTTCACCATCTTAAAATAATATAAGAGCAACATTACTATTAATATTATAGAAGAGCGATGTTTCCTAACAAGCCTAAAAGGAAAAATCCGCCCTTTAAGAGGAACGAATAAAACATTTTTATTTTTATTATTATATTCTACCTACAGGGTTATTTGTAAAATACTAACAACCTCGCAGGGTTATATTACTAAAATAATAAACAATAATTTTTGTTCTACGCTTTTACTATAAATCATCACATTTTACTTTCGTAAAAAAATATATTAAATTTAATATAATAAATATATTAAAAAATATATTAAATTTCGTATAAAAATATTTGAATAAGTAGAACGTTCTAAATAGTCAGAACCCTATGCAAAACAAAGGAGCGCGAGTGAGGGCCGTCGGGAAGGACGCATACGTTTGAACCAAGGTTCGAATATCAACATCCGTATCAGCATCCGCGGGTAATCTGCATAAATTGAAATATCCGCATTCATCGACGCTGATATTCATTGCGGATGTTTGAGTCGTGACATAACCTAAAAGGCAACCTGGAATAATTTATTTACAAATACAAACAGATTGTAACCCGAAAAAACAGCTCAGCTGTTGTTTTTACAATAAAACTTTGATAAAATTCCACAAACGGCGGATTTGTTGTTTTTATGAAGATTGATTGTTTTGATTTTGATTTTGTTATAAACGTCACAAAATCATTGAAATAATATTTTATTACAATACCAAAGAAAATGGAAAGCTTTTTCAAGTAAATAGACTAGGTAAGGACATTTGTCACGTTTTTTTAAATACATAAAATCAGCATCTGTTCATGTTAAAGTAAAAAAAAAAATCTGCATCCGTTGATGTATTAAATCATCATCAGTAACAGCCCTAGTTTGAACTTACTATAATCCCTTACTACTAAGTACAGATCGAAAAAGTGTGAGATAGTGTACGGACAACGGCACATCAGACTCATTGACTTACAAATAAATGGACGACGGGTCTAATACAAAAACCACGAAAAAAAATGTCCCAAGTCAACCTATTCGAAATTTAAATTGTAATGTCATCGCAGTATCGCGCTGTCAGTCGAACAAACGAAGACTAAAGCGGAGTTTGGCGCTCTGTATACGATTTTAGCGCCTTACAAGTGCGGACACTTTTTAGCGCGGACCCGACGTCCATATAATTGTAAGTCAATGATCAGACTACATATTTTTGTTCGAAAATCGCCTCCAGTGCAACGGAACAAGATACGTCAATGTGTAGCTTGATGTGCTGGCGTGTGAAATCTTAAAGGTTATTTTTGATAAATAATAATATACGTTACGTTTTGTAAAAAGTTATGGAACAAAAGCTATTGTTTCTGATATTAGTAATCTAGTCCAGGAAGGTTGTTAGTTCTTACAAATAACCCTGTAGGTAGCTTTTGAATGTTTCTCATTCGGGTTCGATTACCGACTTCGTTTGGTGTACCCCCCCTTTCTACAATGAAATTCGTTATTTGCAGCCCTGTGACCAAGGCGAAGCTGTGTCAGAAAGCAGAACACGAGTTCCCCGGCATGCCATGCGGAATTATGGACCAGTACATTTCAGCAATGGGCCGAAAGGACCATGCTCTCTTGATAGACTGCAGGTAAAACACAGATGTGCCTGTTCAGAAATTCATTGTATAGAATCATGGAGATCTTTACGCTAAAATTTGCCTTATAGTATGCTTACAGTAAAATGTTGTTAGATGAAGTTTATTTACAAAAGTTATTTATAAGTAAAAGTAAAGGGATGGCAGAAAAGTCCGTGTGGTTTTTGCCACTAACTTTAAACAAAAAAAGAGCTTTTTTCTTTTAAAATGTCATATAGTCTATGGTCCTTTTAAAAACAATATTTTGCGCGCATTTTGTTATTGGCGGAAAAGTTTTAAGTTTATTCGTGAAAAACACCGGATTTTTTTACCAACAAAAAAGATTAGCGTATTTCGTATCCTTTGTATAATGAGCCAACAACTCCAGAGGACTGCTGATGCAAGGCCGCGTAGGCGGGTATTTAGTACCTACTGGTACCTAAACCAGATGTCGCAACTGGTGTAAGTACCGGCTCAAATAGCTATTTTTGTAACTAAAAATTGTTGGAATTTATCAAAGCTACTCCAATTTCTAGTGATAACAAACAAATCAACTAGATAGCGCCATTGCACAGATTTTTATGGATACTGCCGGTTATTCTTTTATAATTTTTTAATTAGCTTATAACGCAGAATGCCATCCATAGATAAGCATATTTTGTCAAAATACAGAAAATATTTTTAGTTCACGATCAATATTTCAATAATACATAACCAGAAATAGAAACGAAATAAGGGCCATCCATCTGGCAACTCATCAGGTAAATGGGCCTTATATCCACTTTTAAATATCAACTCTCGTTTGCGCTGAAATCACAAACTAGAAAACTGAAATAGTACAGCGCCAATAACTGACCAGTTGTCACATAAACTACTAATGGTCTGTAATAAAAAATCATAATAAAAAGAAAACAGGCTTTCATTCCCATCCGCCGCATTGTGAATTTTTTATTTTGTTTATTTATTACCTTCAACAAGATTACTTTCTTTCCTGTTGTTTGAATTTCCATCTTTCTCGAAGGATCAGTACTATTGATTGGATTAGTTATCAATTAATCTTAAAGACTTTTGCTCTTTTTGTCTTAGCTTTGGAATACGGGTCTCTCTTTTTAGAGCTGACTTAGGCTTACCCTTTTTTATTAATTGGATTACACTTGTTATTTTTAATAAAATCTGTTTTAAACATTATATTCGTGAAAAAAATATACGATAAGTTAAAGTAAAAGCATTTCTATTATATAGTATGTAAAATAGTAATTGATTTCATGAGTTTAATGTGAAGAACAGTATGATGATGTAAACGTAGAAATATTTCTTATTTTTATTTTTAATACAAACTATTTTTAAATTTCTTAGGGTCGTATTCTAGAACTCTACTCAATGCTCAAGTCAGGATTGCACTGGAAACACAAGTACTGGAAATACGACCCTAATGGCAGGGACTTGAGTATGATTTCGAGTGCTTTAAACCATACTCAAATCCTGACTTGAGCATTGAGTAGAGTTCTAGAATACGGCCCTTAGTAACTAAATAAGTTCTGACGCTTGTCATATCTTACTGTAGTGAAAAGTATTTTTTTTTTTTTCAATTCGAACATTGATTTATTTGTTTATTTGCATCATAGATAACACAAAGAAATGTTGGTACTTGTACAAACATGGACCCCTATTACCTGCTGACGTTAGTTGAAAAGGCGCATGTGACACTTTTTAAAAATTGAGTGAAATGTACTGCCGTGATCAGCAAAAAAAGACGAATCTGCCACTATTTTTATTTTTTTCCATTGGAAAGTTCATTCCAGTGGATTAGGTATGCAGTTACCGTAAGAGAAAATGGCGCAAATTTCCACACTTTTGTCAAAACAAATTGGTAAAAAGGCGTAATTGCATATATACGTCATTTCATTTTAAATACATATTTCAATCACTCAAGTGACGCATGTCTAATTTAACTTTCTAAATCATTCTAAGTTAAAGCTCTACATGTAAAATGTTAATTTCTCTGATGACGGTTACATAATGCTCACGTAAATTTAAAATAAAGTGGAAATGTTGTTTTTCATTTAAGTAATAAAAATCTTGAAAATGTTGCTACGACGTTGAAAGGACATTGTAACCATATACTGCTCTTTCGTTTTAATTATAATACAGTAACTTTAACAATAGTGCTTTAAATTTAAATTATGCAAAGTTGAAAAGGCATAGGTGATTACTTGCATCCTCTTACCTAGTATTGGGTATTTTGCGAACGAACGCACGTATTAAGTTGAAAACGAATAGGGGTAATAATTTAATAATGAAGCATAAATAATAAAATATTTTAGTTCCACATTTTGCGTATAATATAGGTTTACCTTACTGCGTTTGCAGAAAGTATCAATGTTTTTTTCGTTTGGAAACAGCAGATACTTTTTCATTTCATTTCTTTAAACATTAATTTCTCGGTTTTCATTTTTTGTCATACGCGCCCTTTCAGCTAACGGCGACTGTACTGTGAATCGAAACCAGGACTTCCTCATTCAGCGTCCACAGCGCAAACAGTTAGGCCACCAAAGTCACCAGAAATGTAATGTAAAGTAGACTATAATTCTTGTTGTAGATCTCTAGAATCCTTCCACATACCAATGGACATTGGAGAGGCGGTGGTCCTGGTGACCAACTCCAATGTGAAACATAAACTCACAGGCAGCGAATATCCACAGCGACGTGCGCATTGCGAGGAGGCAACTAAAATGCTGGGTCTGTCCTCTTTGAGGGACGCTACACCTGGACATTTAGAAGGTAGTATAACTGATACACTATTATACTGTATACTATATATTAGTAGGTATACTGGTCACTTATTGTGGCCTCGTAAAAAAGTTCAACGTTCTCAACTCAACGAGCCCTGGAGCGAGCAATGCTCGATATTTTTCTACGTGATCGAATCAGAAATGAGGAGATCCGTAGAAGAACGAAAGTTACCGACGTGTCTTAAGGGATTAGCAAGTTGAAGTGGCAGTGGACAGGGCTAGCTCTTAACTGACGACCGCTGGGGCAGAAAGGTTCTCGAATGAATACCACGAACCGGAAGGCGTTCAGGTGGACGGATGACCTGGTAAGGGCGGCGGGTAACCGACGGATACACGTTGCGTCCGACCGGCTAGTCTGGCAATCTTTGGAGGAGGTCTATGTTCAGCAGTGGACGTCATCTGGCTGATATGATGAAAATGATGATACTGGTACATGACTTAATGCATAAAAATGAAATTTTGAAATATAATTCCACAAGACTACGCGTATGTGTCACGCGAATCGAGTGTCTTAATTGTCACACGTTTGTGGAACATGTTGTTGGTTCATATTTATTTAATCTTGTTTGTTTAACGTTTGTCATTTGTTTATTATGTAACTGTTTGTGTTTATTTAATAAGTGAATTAACTGTCTTTTGTTAACTAAAAAGATGAAAAGAAGCTTTTGTTTTTAACAAGAGACTGGGGAATGGATAAAAATGACGTACGAGGAGCTAGTGAATTTCTTCATTTGGCTATCTTCATCATCTATGCTCCGCACATGTAACCAAGCATATTTAAATAATAGTATAACTGCCTCCGTGGCCGAACGGTTACCATGCCGTACTGCCACGCAGAGGTCGCAGGTTAAATATTTGTATGGCCTACATTTATTTCTCTCGTGAGTTTGGGTGTAATTTGTGGTTGTCTATGTGTGTGTCCATGGCACCCGCGACACAGGGTTTCCCTAGTGCGGGGCTATGTTGAGTGTGTGCGTTATTATTATTATTATTATAATGGCGTAGAGTCGATTTCTGACGCCCAGGGCCAAACTTGCATTTGCTGCCCTCTCGTTTGTGCGTGCTCCGTTCGATTATGTTTGTATGTTCGTCTTTGTGTTATATAGTAGTATGCCGCCTCGATTAACCTATTATATCCATATTTTAATCTCAAATTCGAGTGATAATCTTATTGTTATCATTTTTTTAATTTTGTCACGACAGCTAACATCGCGAGTATCGTGACGTCACATTTTTATGACATCGCAAGCTCCGCAACCAATGACTGCAAAAGATTAATACAGTGCCAAACATGGCTGCAAGGTCACAGTCGACTTTAAAAAAGTCTTTAGCGTAATTATTGGTAAAATGTTTACATTTATAGTTAAGGTATTTGATAATTTTTTAACCGACTTCAAAAAAAAAGGAGTAGTATGTTTTTTTTGTATGTATGTTACGTGATAACTCCGGTATTTGTGAACCAATTTTCATGATTTTTTTTTTGTTGGAAAGAGGGTCCCATTTAATTTTGAAGAATATCATCCACCTCTATGGGTGGCTGTTCACGCATGAAGATTCATTTTTATAAACAAAAAAGTAATATAATTAGTACTGCAGTCTTATGTCTACTTGGGATTTTTCGTCAGCGGAAATACTGGATCCCAAATTAACTGTAACGGGTCCGTAACGTTGACTTGTTTGGAAAAAATAAACGAATATATGCTATTTGATACGAAAAAATTGTTTTTTATGATACCAATTAGACGTGACCATAGAACCTGTAAAGGGCCCGAAATGTTAGCTTTTTGAAAAAGCAAATACGGTGAATTTTCGGGTTAGTTTTCTCTTCGAGTAATTATTATAAAATATTCAATAATATTTCAGATTACCACACTCGAATATTAAATAATATTACTTGATAATATTCTGCAATATTTAAATAATACATAATTGCCACCGAAATTAAGTAGACAAAATTAACCTGAAAATTACTCATTTACGCGAAATTTAAAAAAATTTTTTTTTATGAATATCTTTTTATGGTATCAAATGACGGTAAATGTCGTGCGCCTGTTGGTAAGTAACACGCCTGTCTATGACACTTGCGGTGCCACTCAGAGCTAAATCACAAAGATTTGAGGGGCACTGCCATTGTGCCCTTTACTTCGAGACAAAAGTTGATAAGTCCCATTTGGCCAGCATCCCTTCAAAACTGAAACGCGGTAATGCACTGCTGCGGCAGAAACAGTAACCGAATACTTGGCAGCTCTAGTTATTGTGAATTTGTACTGTTTGAAATTGAATATTTGGGAATAACATTCTTTATTTGCAAACTCGAATTGTTCTTGTCCTCAGATATAATTTGTACAAATATAGCACTATTTTTATTTGCTCCACAGAACTGGAAAAACTAAAAGCTGACAAGCTAGTTATCATGAGAACGAAACATGTAATTAATGAAATTAGTTGGACCGAAAAAGTTTCAAAGGCTTTGGCTGCACAGGATTTGGCTCTCGTAAGTTTTTACATGTTCATTGTTGCTGCATGCAGTGTTGGGCAAAATTTAATTGTTCTGGCAATTAAAGATTGACAATTGATTAATTGTCAATTGCGAAACAGCAATTAACGATTGATCAATTGTTAGTTGCGAAAACCGCAATTAACAATTAATCAATTGTTAATCGCAAATATCTACAATTAACAATTAATCAATTTTCAATCTTTTCAATGTTTTTGATTAACAATTAACAATTGAAACTGACGATTATGATAAATTTATAAGGCATATGGGGGTGAGTTAGGGCGTTGGTTGTGGGGGCCCCGGTTGGGGTCCCCGGTTGGGGTCCCCGGTTGGGGGCCCCGGTTGGGGTCCCCGGTTGGGGTCCCCGCTTGGGGGCCTCGGTTGGTGTCCCCGCTTGGGGGCCCCGGTTGGGGTCCCCGCTTGGGGGCCCCGGTTGGGGGCCCCGCTTGGGGGCCCCGGTTGGGGTCCCCGCTTGGGGGCCAATTGCAATTAAATCAATTGCGACGCGTCGCAATTGATTTAATGCTTTCAATTGCATTGATTTTTTAATCTGATTGAATTATTGATTGAAATTTAATTGATTAACGCCCAACACTGGCTGCATGTCTATCAATCTATGTTGACCCAAAAGTTCATTTCTAATTTGTAATGTGAATTTGAAATTAGATGTGTCTTAAGTTAGTTAGCATAGTTGATTTGAAAGTAGTTTAGTTTATAATTTTTCTGTATATATGTGGAAGCTTTTCATTGGCATTTCTTTGCATACTTAGATATGTAATTTGTAAAAGTAGCTGTAAGCTCCCCAAATAAAATAAAATAAAATAAAATAAATAAATGTTGTTGTACATCTTACATTTTTGTTGCTGTAGGTACATCTCGTGCATTTATGTTGTTATAACATGTTGTGCAAATTTTAACCTCTTTTTCGACCGTTATTATATTTTTTTCTTTTTTTCGTTGAAAATGGGTTTCCTCAATGGGGAGGTCTAGTGGTACCATTTGAATTTTAAGTAAATATTCCACCTCTAATGGCGGCTCATTAGGGAATAAATCTGGTTTAATGGATCACGCACTTTCCATTAACCGATATCAATGAAATTGGGTAAACAGATTTTTTAACTCTTTGATCATTATTGAACATGTCAGCTCCATTATAAAAACGATACATCAAGAAAACACTTTATAAAATCCAGACAGATCAATTAAAATACTACCTAACCAAACATGTATACAAAATTTTCGCGGCACTAAACGTTGGCTACAACAAAACGGATTGGAAACCACTTAACATTAAATGTACGGAAACCAACCTGTGGAAATAACAGTACCTTGATAGGTTCGCTCCAAACGCACTCCATGCGCAAATGAGCATCCTCAGGAATTTCATATACTTCGCATTTTGGTGAATTCACCATCTACATCAAATACAAAAAGTTATTTTTGACCGAGTTCAAAAAATGCAGGAGGTTCTCAATTCGACTGTTTTTTTTTGTATGTATGTTACGCTATAACTTCGGTATTTGTGAACCGATTTTCATGATTCTTACGTACCTCCATAGTGATTCCATTTAATTTTGAAAAAAAAAAAAATGATCTACCTCTAAGGGTGGCTGTTTACGCATGAAGATTCATTTTTATAAATAGCGCCTAAATTTTATTATAAGGAGCAATTATTTTAATGGTTGATTTTGCTATTCTTCAATTCAAGGCGTTTTTCTCTCTCAATATACTTTGAGTAGTGAGAACCGACTTTTATTATCTCCTGTGTCAAGTCCCGTATAGTGGCGAACTAATTCAATAAAACTTGGTAATAATATGTAATTCCACGTAATTTTGAGGTTGGTTTTTTTTAGTACTCTGTACTGTGATTATACGGAACGTGTTCGGATCTGAGGGGCACTGCCACTGCGCCCGTCACCCTGAAACGTAAGTTGACAAGTCCCATGTGCCTATAATTTCACCAGCACCATTATCCCTCAAAACCGTAACACAGTAATGCCGACATTACTGCTTGGCGACAAAAATAGGTAAAGTGGCAGTACTTCCCTGGACAAACTCTTCCACAAGGAGCTCTACTGCTATTAAAAACGTACATGTAAAAAAGTACGTTAGACATTTTACCTTTCCAGGATAAATAAGTAAACCAATTGGCATTCGTTATCCAGGGACAGAGTAAAAGCAACTCTAAATTTACGAATTTTAAGAAACCTTATTGATAGAATAAAGCAACAGAAGTCGAGAACGGTTTTTATTCAGTATGTGTTTTATTATATTTGTCTAACAATAACCAATTTTATACAATACCTGAATATGTTTACCCCACGCGAAAAGGGGACTTTAGGGGACTTTTCTTCTTAAGTGGATTTTATTTCGCACGTGTATCGACCGGGTTTAAGATTTTCCATTTCTCTGGCGACACAGGCTAAAAGAGCAAGCGCCACTATTAATATTAATACAGATACACCTGCGGAGCAACATCCTGACTTAAGGAAAACGTTGTAGATAAAACGTATATATACCGTTTGTTTTTTTGCGACCACTTCTTTCTTTGCATTAGACAGAAGGAAATTATTTTCTTTAGTCAGATTCCATTTCATTGCGTCATTGTAAACAAAGCAATTTAATAAATACCGTGAAACGAAATTCTTAAACATATTTACTAAAACGCAATGGCGTTTGCCCATATAAATTTTTGTTGACTTAATCTGTATGCATCTGTTTAAGAAAAAATTGTGAAAATATAGGGTTGAAATTCCTGAACAAATTTCAGAAAGGGGATAGTTCAGAGGAAAATATTTTTTATAAGGTATCTGTAGCGAATCGCTACAAATCTCTTTGTATATATTTTATAATATAGTCTGTTTTACACTTAGTTTTATATTTAAATTCTAAATAATAGATGTGTTTGTTTTTGGCGACTTTTTTTTGCTTTGATAGCGACGACGTGTTTTCTAGTAAATTATTAAAAGCTGTAAGTACATTTGCTTGGCCTTGCTCACTCGTTGTTAGCACCCACCCTTTAACCCATATACATTATAGATACAGTCCACTACAGTACCTATGGTCAAAAGGCATGAAGTTAAGCCACAACAAAAGAATACTGAGTTCGTACACGCCAAGCACTGATAATCGATTTTTTTTGTCGGTTTTACCATTTTCTCGCGTGGCTATTGGGGAAGGAACTATGTACTTTATTTCGTGTAATAAAGATCGAATCAGTACATTTGGTATTACGCACGAGAACTAATTCAGAATCTATACAATCTCGAGTGGCTTGGGTTGATCGCGCATAACAATAGAAGTGTTGAACCAATCATTTAAAAGAAATATATAGGAAAATTGAGAATATACACTGATTTATTATATGGTGTGAAAACTCGATTCCTAAACATTTTCACGATAGAAAAAACACAAACTCACCTTGAAATTTTAGAAGAAAACCTATCATTCAATGGGTACTTTAGATATATATATATATATATATACTAGCCCCCAGCGATTATTATTTGTTCCCAAATGTGAAAAAAGAATTACGTGGGAAAAAATTTCGCGACGACGGAGAGGTTAAGGCAGCAATTTTAGCTCATTTTGAGAGCAAAGAGAAAAAATATTTTTTCGATGGCATAGAAAAGCTAATTTCGAAATCTAAAAAATGTATTGAGCTCAAAGGTAATTATATTGAAAAGGAAAAATAGCCTTATTGTTTTATATTATTTACAACCCTTCCATTCCGCGGACTTTTGGACCTCCCCTCGTACATCGAAATTTGTAAAAGTATGAAATTATACCAAATACCCGGTTAAAACCAGGGCGGATTGATTTGGTTATAACACACGGGCAGTGGGCCAACTCTGCGTAAGCCGCATTTTTTTAAAAAGAATCTGTTTACTCCACATTACGCATGTAATACTGTCCTACCTGGAACTAACAATATTGATAAGTGCAAGTTTGTTTACGGAAGTGCGTGTTCGTGCGTGGTTTAGAATCAATCACTTAAAAGGGTAGGCTCACTCATGTGTTACCTATAGCATAGTGTATAAAAAGCCGTGGTAGTCTAAGGGTTTGAAATACCGCCTATCAAGCAGATCAATCCCGTCGCGCACTTCTGAGTTTAATGGAATATATGTGCGAAATTTAAAATTTACCATGTGCTTTTCAGTGAAGGAGGACATCGTGATGAAACTTTTTCTTTTTTATGATACTAAGTATAACAGTTGCAGTGCCACTCAGAGCTTTAAATCTCAAGGATCTGCGAGGCACTGCCACTATGCCCGCCGCCCTGAGATGTAATTTGACAAGTCCTATGTGCCTGTAATTTCACCAGCACCAAAACCTTTCTAATTTGGAAAACAGTAATGATCACATTACTCTTTGGCGGCAGAAATAGGTAAGGTGGCAGTACTTCCCTGGACGAAATCTTTCACAAGGAGCTCTAATGCTAATAATTTAGAAACATCTAATTTAGAATAATTGATTTCCCAAGTCGGCTCTACAGTGAATCTAACCATGGACTTCTTTAGCCAGTATCGTCAGTTCAAATTGTTGGGATAATAAACTTAAAAAAATGCCGAAAGGAGACAGTTTGTATTTGAGCGTGGTGGGAAAGAATAATCGCCATGAAATTTATGTTTTTTGATCCAAGGAAAACAAATTTAGAAAAGCATTGACTTACAATTATATGGACGTCGGGTCCGCGCTAAAAAGTGTCCGCACTTGTAAGGCGCTAAAATCGTATACAGAGCGCCAAACTCCGCTTTAGTCTTCATTTGTTCTACTGACAGCGCGATACTGCGATGACATTACAATTTAAATTTCGAATAGGTTGACTTGGGACATTTTTTTCGTGGTTTTTGTATTAGACCCGTCGTCCATTTATTTGTAAGTCAATGTAGAAAAGCAATTGTTTGTTTAGTATATTATTCCTTTATCAGGTAGGCGAACTGTTCTATAAGTCGCACGACTCGCTGAGCAAGTTGATGGAGGTGTCATGTCCTGAGTCGGACCAGATAGTGGAGGTGTTGAAGACGTGCACCGGAGTTTACGGTGCTAGGATGACTGGCGGGGGATTCGGCGGGTGCGTCGTGTCTTTGGTAACGAAACCACGTTGCTCTCTTTTTGATATTTCTGTATTTTTTTTTAATAAAAATAAGTGCTCATTTGACCTCCATCTCACCTGATGGAAAGTGACGATGAGGTCGACCATGTAGCAAGCACATGCAAGTATGTGTATGCTACATCGTAGCATGTAGCATGTAGTTCGTAGTAAGTAGTTCGTAGTGATATAGCTATGCATAACACCTTTTTTTTTTGACTATGTACATGTGACAATAAATACAAATGCACACCCAAGTAATGCCTTTTCGCTCTCGCCTTGAAAAGGTCCAAGTTATTGCGTTTGGAGGATAAGTAGTAAGTAGCAGGCAGGGAATTCCACAACCTAGCTGCTTACCAAGAGCGTAGCGAGACGCAAAACAACTTTACTGCTCAGCGAGACACACAACCTTTCACCTCACAAAATGGTCGACGAAAGACAAACAGTTGAACTATATCAATCAGATCTAATAAACAAAATTAGTTATCGTTGTCAATTTAATGTGGACAATAATAACAATAAAACGTACCAACGGATTTATATTACATAAATAATGTGCGACAAATCGCGTAGTTGAACGTGGTATTGCTTTTTTTATCGAAAGATAAAGTTAGGTGCACCACAGTTCATCGTCGAGTTCGAATTTCAAAAACCTTTACTACGCTAGCGGTTGTAAAGCGGCGTTAAAGGTTGTAAATTCTTTCACTACGACGACGGGAATACGTCTTGTCTCATAATAATATGACTGAAGCCAAAGAGGCTGTCAAAAATGTTGTTAATCGAAATTGATTTTGAAATGATTTTTTCCATTGCGATCCAACAAGTTGCTTCAAAGCAAGAAATTGTGCATCCCTACTTATTAAGCAATAAGGAGTAAGTCAATACATTTTTTAATAATGTTAAGTGACGGGACGAGCAATTCGTGTGCCTAATGGTAAGCTACACGCCTGTCCGTAACAGTTGCAGTGCCACTGCGCCCTTCAATCGCTAAAATGTGAGGGGCACTGCCACTGCACACCTCACCCCGAGACATAAGTTGACAAGTCCCATGTGCCTGTAATTTCACCACTTTTGTACTTGCGTGCGAAGTGGATGCATGTGCTTGTGTGTTGTTTGTGTGTGTTGTGGTTGTGGTATTTGAATATGTGCCCATGTGACGTATATATGTAAATATTTAAATAATAACAATAGTGTGAACTAAAATGCACAATTCAATGTACAATTTAATTCCACTCCTTATGGACGTCTTATTTAAACGCTCATGCCAGTTTAAAAAGTTATTTATATATTGATGTATTTTGGTTTAATTGATGGATACATTGCCGAGAATATATCCAACATCGCGTTAATAATAACCGTATTTCGAAAGCCTAAATGATCAAAGAGGCATTTCGCAAATTATGGTTCACGGTCGCTTAACTTGATAGAAAGCACACTTACTCTAAAGTCAAATTGCCGATTATAGGTTATATGAATTTAGGGATTATTTACATTTTAAGGCTTTCGTGGTTATTTATCAACACTCAAGTATCGGGATGAATAAGTCGTGCGCCTAGTGGTATACGACATACCTACTAAAGTTGCTATGCCCACAGACGAAAGAATGGAAGCCTCGGTAACTATAAAAACCGCAGTCGCCAAAACTCACACATTCACAATTTAAAACACTATGAAATATTGATAATAATTAAAAAAAAAACACATTCTGGATTGTTAATATAATTTATACTTTACTCTGTTGGTTACACCCTTCAGTGTTCTATACCATCAATACCTATTATTGCAAGTTTCAACGTTTTGATTGTGATTGTGAAGGTACTGCCATCTAGCGGTTAATAGCTGAATGACGACGAATTTCAGAAGTTTATTTAGTTCTCCAAATAGATAATATTATAAGTGCGACTATAATTTTTGAGCTAAATACGGCATATTTCTACGATTTTCGAGGTTTTGAATGAGATAATTCACACGATCATGAAGAAAAATCGCTGAATGAAAATGGCGGATTGAGTGAGTGAGTCAAGTTTGTGCAATTCCTCGAGCTGTTGACACACGTGACAGGCAAACTAAGCACTTCTACTGTATTTATTGCCTTCAACCTCAGAGGCACTGCCACTGTATCAGTCACCGTGTGATATAACTTGACAATGTGCCTGTAATATGGTCGTATTGGTTGTAGCACTCTGCTCTGGACGAACTCTTTTACAAGGCTCTACTGCTACTAGCTACAGATTATCTTACTATGGTATGACCATGGAGGGTGTAACCGTTCAGAAATATCGGGAAAATACAATAAATAAATAAAATACAATTTACCTGTTATTAGGGAATTGTGATCCTGAATTGATGTTTAATGCATAATTTAAGTTTTATTTTTTCTTACAGGTAAATAAAAAACATGTAGAAGAAGTGAAAAAGAACATCATGTCGCACTATAAAGGTAATCCAACATTCTTCATCTGTCAGCCAAGTGACGGCGCAAGGATTTTGAAACTATAAGACAAAATGTCTTTCGCAATCCGGATTGCGATTAGTCAATAGTTATTGTTAGCTTAAAAAATTGTGTGCAATTTGAATTTATAAATGTTATAATAAAATTATATGCAGAACGTAATTGTGATTTTTGAAATGTAACACACACATTGCAAATTATTATTGAACATCCGTAGAAAACCACACATACCATTTTTCAGTCAAATTAGAGCAACATTTTTATCAACCGCCAAGAAAGTTTGTATGACAGCCGTATTGAGAAATGACTAAAAGTGATTTTTGACCGAAAATTATTATTAAACACTCACCGAGACCCGAACAGGCGAATTAGGGCAAATTTTTATCTGCCGCCACAAAAGTTTGTATGGCAGCCATATTGAAAAATTGCGAAAAATATGTTTGGATTGCAAATTATTCATCGTAAAGAATTAGATGTAAATGCATTCTGCATTCCCTTGATTGTCGTCTCTTCCAGTGACGGTAAGCTAGTAACAACTTGACTGCTTCGTCCAACTCCATGATTAATACTGACTGACTTCGAACAAACGTTCGCGTGTCGAATGCTTACTCAGACGCGACATATTATTCATGATTCGCGGCGAATTAGCTTCTTTTGGCCAAAGCTTCAATAGATTCAAACGTGCAAAAAACACGGTACAAACGAGCTTCCACGGAGCCGTATAGGCGCGTTCGTAAAATACGCGTCGTCTGCGCGCTGTGTGCACAGGCTCTTATGTTGTCACGATGGAATAATGATAGAAACGCTCAGTCTACATGAATTTAGTAGGAGTAGAGCTTCCAGTGAAAGAGTTCGTCCAGGGAAGTACTGCCACCATTTCTGCCGCTAAGCAGTAATGCGAGCGTTACTGTGTTCCGGTTTTGAAGGGTAAGGGTGTTGGTGAAATTACAAGCACATGGGACATGTCAGCTTATGTCTCAGGGTGAAGGGCGCACTGGCAGTGCCTCTCAGATCTTTGCGATTTAAAGCTCTGAGGATACTGCAATTGTTATGGACAGGCGTGAAGCTTACCATCAGGCGCACGAATTGTTCGTCCCGTCACTTGATATTATAAATAGAAAAAGATTGTAGAAGGAATAAATAAGAAAGCAGGGAAAAGAAGAAGAAAGGCGCTAAAGGGCCTTTACTCTTTATGCAGTTAGGTTTTCACGACTGAAGGACACGTCTTTTCTCTTCAGGAATTTTGTAAGGAGTTGCGACGGAACGAAGCAAAGTCAAGAATGACAAAGGAAAAGAATTAAAGAACGATTCAAATTTCAGAAGTAAGTGGCCAGGAACCAGAGAAAAGGGCAAAATAATAAAAATGCACCATATTTAGCTTCGACTGAAATATAGTTGAACACAAGAGTAATGAACCATGCTTTATTGGAAATATTAATTGATTTTTATATATAATAGGGGTTAAAGTATGAAATTGCCGATTTGTACTGAAAGTCTAAATTGTTTATTTTTTAAATTTTTAACAAATTTATTTAATCAAAATAGTTGCCATTATTATCTATACATTGCTGCCATCTAATGGGAAGGTTATTAATGCCTTTGCGATAGAACTCCGACGATCTAGACTGCACAAACTGTGTGAAAGCATTTTGTACTGCCTCCTGGGAAGAAAACTTCTTGTCACGTAGATAATTGTCCAAATCACGAAAAAAATGGTAGTCCGTTGGAGCAAGGTCTGGTGAATACGGAGGATGACGAATGGTTTCTAACTGCAGTTCCTGAAGGGTCAAAATGGTTTCTCGTGCTGTGTGAGGTCTCGCGTTGTCGTGGAGCAATAATGGTGAAGATCGATTCATGAGACGGGGCTGTTTTACTGCTAGTTTTGTCAACATGGTTCGGAGTTCGGCACAATAGACATCTGCCGTTATTGCTTGACCAGATCGGAGAAAACTATAGTGAATAACACCATGCTGAGACCACCAAACAGTTACCATTACCTTTTTATTGGTAAGTTTTGCTTTAGGACACTGTTGTGGCATTTGACCTGGGGTCAGCCATTGCATTTTTCTTTTCCGGTTATCATAAAGAATCCACTTTTCATCACATGTTACAATTCGATCCAATATTCCTTCATTTCTGTACCGGTTCAACAAGGCAACACAAGTTTCAACACGCGTTTCTTTCTGCAGATCAGTCAAATCATGAGGCACCCATTTTTCGTATTTTTTTATTTTATTGATTTAATAATAATAATAATAATAATTTGTTTATTTTCTCCCACAATAAATTTAAAGTAATGGAACAGAGCGTACATATTAAACATTGTGAGAGACAGGAGCCTAAACTAGGTAAGACCTGTATCTTAGGCCTCCTGGTCTCCACCTCTTGGTTGAACAATTCTGTACCTAAAATTTCCAATATACATGGTAAGGGATTAGTTTAACAAATTTATAGAATATAGAAGAAAATATAATCTAATAGAGTGTGGTTGCGTGTGTGTATGTGTTTGCGTTTATGTATGTGTGTGTGTGAGGAGTGCATGTGAGTGTGTGTGTTGTATGTATTTAGTGTGGGTGTGTATGTGGTGTGTAAGTGTGCATGTGTGTGAGTAAATGCGTGGGATGAATGGATGTGCGTACTTGAGGCCTTTATCGCTTGTTACGACATGGTTAAAAGTTTTTCAGTTTCGTCGTAAGTTTTAGTAACTAACCAAGTAACAACTGTATCTTTACATTTATATTTTACCATACTGTATATATTAAGACTTTTGTTTAAAAGGTTGTACAGTCTAGGTCCCTGATGGCAAAAGAATCTATGTGCAAAGGATGTGTTAAATAGTTTTGGGTCGCATACCATATAATGCCTCCTCCTATGTGCGTTTGGATGATGAGCATTAAATATGATCTTCCCATGTTGTCTTAGCACCGTGGCAAGAACATATATTTGTCTGACCGAGAGTAACTTTGTGTCGCGGTATAAGCTAATCGTGGAGTATAGACGTGGTTTAGAAAGGCTAACTTTTAGGATTAGCCTTTGTACTCTCTCCAATTGCAACATATGGGTTTTTGCCGCACCTCCCCATGAGGAAATACCATACGATAGGATCGATTGACATAGCGATAGATAAACAGATTTAAACAATTTAAAATCCAACACATGTCTTAGTTTTTTAAAGATGTATATGAGTTTACGGAGTCTTTGAGTGAGGCTTGTGATGTGCTCTTTGAAGGAGAGGAGGTAATCAATAGTGATACCTAAGTATTTAATATTTAGGGTTTTTTCAATGTACGCGCAGGTACATATGGTGGAGCTCCAGTTAGAGCAAGAATGTGCCCGAATGTTATAGCTGAAAGTTAAGGATTGTTGACCACCGACACAAAATGCAATGTACTTAGTTTTCTCGGTGTTTAGAGTTAAATAGTTAGCTGCAAGCCAATTTCTTACTATATTAAACCCTTCCTGCGCACAGTCAAAGACGCCCTCCCAAGTATCATGGTAGAATGTCAATGTGGTGTCATCTGCATATGAAATAATTTTGCAGTTTCTAAGTTTCATTTGACACAGTTCATTAATGTAACAGAGAAAAAGGGTAGGACCGACAGTGCTACCTTGAGGCACTCCGTAATAGACGTTTGCATCCTGACTAAGCACTGAATCAATTTTTACTCTCTGAGTTCTATCTTCGAGGTAGCTGCGTATAAGAGAAAGTTGTGTTCCTCTTATACCCAGCGCCTCAAGTTTATCGATGAGAATGGGAAAAGAAACAGTGTCGAACGCCTTTGCCAAATCTAAGAATATTGTTATACATTTTTTTTTATTATCTATTTTTTGAATTACAAAGTCTGTGAAGCTATGTATTGCATCCTCAGCCGATCTGCCTGCCCTAAAACCGAACTGGGATTCAGAAAGTAAGTTTTTTGCCTCTAAAAAGTTGTTAATTCTTTTGTTCATTATTTTTTCAAAGACCTTAGATGTAGCTGTCAATAGAGAAATCGGTCTATAGTTTGTAATGCAGTCTCTATTCCCACTCTTGTAGACAGGCACCACAATCGACTTCTTCAACGCTCCTGGAAATACCCCGTCATTCAATGATTTATTAATTAAAACGGTAAGTACAGGCGCTACTACCTCCTTAATAGCTTTAAGGGTGTGAGCAGAGATGTCATCCCATCCGACTGCACTGTCAGATTTTAGAGACATAATTGTACTCTCGACCTCTTCACTAGTAGTCTCCATTAGGACAAAAGAGTCAGAGAGTGGTACCTGTGAACAAATGTAGGTAGATGAAATATGCTGATGAGTGTGAATTTTGCTAGCCAATTCCGCACCAATACCAGCGAAAAAGTCATTAATTTCATTGGCAGATTGGAGTTCTGTGGGTTTAATATTTAACAGTTCATGTAAGGGATCTTTTTGTTTATTTAGATTTGTTATATTTTTTATTGTTCTCCATAGTTTTTTATTGTTATTTTTAGATGCAGAGAGCTCAGTTTTTTCATATTGTTGTTTACATTTTCTAATGATATTGTTACAGAAATTCCTGTACCTTTTGTATGTTATTCCTAGTATTGTGTTATTTGGGTCCTGTCTGACTTTAATATGCATCCGATCCCTATTCTTTATACATTTCAAAAGACCTGTGGTTATCCAAGGTTTTAAAGTAATTCTGTTTCGAGGTAGTTTTACGTATATAGTATTGCGTAATATAATATTTTGTGTATACTGAATGAAAATGTTAACAGCCTCATCTAAGTTATCTGTAGTGTATATAGAGCTGAAATCGAGTTTACGTACTTCATCTATTATCTTGTCAAGGTTAATTTTTTTTTTAAAGTTGTATCTATCACAGTTAGTATTATATTTGTTTTTTACACAACATAAAACAGCTTGGTGGTCAGTGATTGACGTTAGCAATACACAGGTCGATGTAGCTAAATTGGTTTTAATAATGACGTGATCAAGGCAGTTGGTCAGGCGAGTAGGATGATTATGTGCCGGTAACATTCCGTGGAATGCCAAGGTATCAAGATATTTATTTGCGTTGTCGTTTGTATGACTGATGTTAATATTTATGTCGCCTACCAATATTATATTTTTGAAGGACGATAGTTGAGTTAATAAAGTGTTTAATGATTC